GCAGGAAATTTGAAATGGAGCTTCAAATTTTCTCATTTGGCTTTTATTTATTGTATAGATTTTGCTGACTTTAACTGAAGATACTTTGAAATTTACCACAAAACAGTACCCATTAGATAAAAATTACTCATACTTATTCATTGATTCATTTTAGGGTAATATTTATTTTTTATCCGAACCTTTTGAAGATTCTTTTATATTATCCAAACCTATTAAAATGCTATTATTTAGCCAAATCTTTTGTAATGCATCAAAATATTAGCCATTTTTATGTTATCGTTAATAATATTGTAACCCTTTTCTTGGTTAGAATACTGAAATTGTGGAATGTTGACCTTCATGTGTCTCTTCCAACTCAGTACCATGTTGCTAAGTCAATATTACTAACAAAATTGCTAACTGAAAGTTAACATTTGGCTAATTCTTATTATTTCGATAGATTTGGCTTATAAAAAATAATCTGACAATATTTGGGTAATAAATAGTCATTACCCTTCATTTTACTACCAATCATCTATGATAATCGCCTGAGCATTCAACCAAAATGTAATTGAGAAAAAAAATATGAACAGTGCCATCTGAAGTTTGATGAAAGCACAAGCTCCACGCGCTCTAAAAGTCTAACAAAGCTTAAGAGGTCGTTTGTTTGTAGGATTATAAAAAATGAAGGATTTAGGTAAAATCCTGGATTTTTTTGATGAAGAATAATGTGGGATTTTGTCATTTTAGATTTGTGTTGGATTTTAAAAAATATTTGTTTGTTTATTAGAGTTCATATTGAATTTGTGTCAATAGGATTTATTAATTATATGTTGAATTTACATTTGTATCCTTAGTGATTTGTGTTCTTGATGTTCAATATAGGAAATATTGAAAAGAGACGGGGATAGACCATTCATTTACCATAATGGATTTTAGTCTCCCACAAAATCCCAAATAAATAGGTAGGATTTTATTATCTGTGGACCCCACGGATTTTTATCTCAAAATAATCTCACATGCATGGGGCCCACATAACATAATCCAACACCACTTTAACACCAAACATGGACTTTGTGCATAATCCCATGGATGTGATATTTAATCCCAAATCCATGATGAAAATCCTACAAGCAAATGACCTTGCCTGTGGGATTTTGAAAAATGAAGGAGTAGGGTAAAACCTTGGATTTTGAAATTGAAGGATTATGTTGTATTTTGCTATTTTGGATTTGTGTTGGATAGAAATTGCATGTTTGCTTATTGATTTTCAAAATGGATTTTACTATATTGGATTTATGGGTTAAATGATGGGTTTACCTTCTTTTTTTTTTTTGCCATAGATAGAGGAGTAATAGATAGGGAATTACAAATAATTTAAAAATAAATAACGGAAATCAGCCAAATGCTGATTAGCCGATGCAAGAGTCGTTTTCGCCACGCAATAGGCAGCCCTGTTAGTTCTACGAGGAGAAAAAACAAAACGAATAGACGCGAATGATGCTTTCATCAGCCGAACTTCATCCAGGATTGCTCCGCCAATGTTATGCTGAGTCGTGTCCTCCGTCATGCGTCAGATCACCAATTGTGAATCTCCACAAAAACGAACAGAATAAATACCCCACTTAAACACCAGTCCATCGCATCCCGTAACGCTAAGAGTTCCATCACAAAAGGGTCAAATAAGCCACTGTATAACTTACCGTAGGCACAAGTGATGGAGTCGGACGGTGAGAATCCAACAAAGCCTATACTGCCACCGACCTCCCGTCTAGTCGTCCCATCAAACCGAACGAGTAGGCCACCCGGAGGACAGGAAGGCGAAGGAGATGAGGTAGGTTGCCGATCCAAAGGACGTCCATGTGAAGATGGAGTAGAAGTGACAGCTATCCATTCCTCCTTTTGCTGTAAGAATTGTCGGAAAAGAGGGCCAGGGAGGAACTGGACCTTGTCATAGCAAGACCAGCAACGAGCCTTCCAAATCCGCCAGGCTAAGAAGACTAATTCGGCCATGGTTACCTTGCTGAGCTGCAAAGAAAAGAAAATAGTATACCATGCTAAATCAGGCGTAATGCCTGAGAGAAGCACACGGACATGATCTTTGCCAGCAAGATTCCATACTGCGCGTGCCACTCTACAATCAAACAGGCAATGGGAAATAGATTCAACCCTGTCAGAGCATACATGAAATACATTAGAGTCACTAAGAGTTCTGGTATAGAGCACCGCCAAGCAGGGCAAAAACCCCGAACAACCCTCCACAAGAAAAACTTTAGTTTAGGAGGAACAGGTAAGCTCCAAAGCAATTTCCAGAACCGAGCATCCAAATGAGGTGGAAGAGTGTTGAACAACTCAGACCGAACATCCGAGAGGAGATGATACCCCGACTTGACAGAATACTTCCCTGTCTCTGAATAATGCCAAATATATCTGTCAGGCCTGGGAGTGAGAGGAATAGGGATAGAGAGGATCAACTTTACACTGGCAGGAGTAAAATATAACTGAAGTAACTGCAGATTCCACTGCCGCGTCAAAGGATCGATGAGAGATGCCACATACAGACTGGGGAGATGGACCCCAGGGAGTAGGGACGGAGAGGAAGGGGGAGAAGTAGGCAGCCAAGGGTCTTCAAGGATCCTGATGGCAGTGCCACACCCTACTTGCCACCGAAGCCCTTTAAGAAGCAACTCTCTACCAGCTAGTACACCTTGCCAATCCCAGGATGGACGAGAACCCACTGAAGAATGGAGAAAGTCACAGTGGGGATGGTAGCGAGCCTTGTACATTCTAGCCAAAGTAGAAGTCGGGGCCAGCAGCAACTTCCAAGCCTATTTTGCTAGCATAGCAATATTAAAGAGATCGAAATCCCGGAACCCAAGGCCTCCTCGAAACTTACTTACACAAATGGCTGGCCATGAAAGCCAGTGAATACCTTTGACCTTGTCTTGGCTGGCCCACCAATATCGCGAGAGCTGGCCATTCATACGACGACAGGAGGTGGCTGGAAGGCGGAACGAAAGCATCACATAAACCGGGGTTGCTGACCCAACTGCTTTGATCACCACCTCTAAGCCATCCTTGAGAAACCGGAATGTCTGAGCTTTTGACCGGTGTATCTGAGCGGGGAGGCCTAGATACTTGTCAAGTTCACCAATGGAATCCACGCCCAAAAGATCCGCTAGAGCGGATGCTTCATGAGCCGACACATTAGAGCTGAAGCACACTTTCGAATTTTGCAGGTTGATCTTCTGGCCACTAGCTGGTTCATAGAGGGTAAGTAACTGCAGAAGATTAGAGCATTCCGTAGAAGAAGCTCACAAAAACAAATAAGTGTCATCAGTAAACAATAAATGTGAAGTGAGCGGAGCTAGGTGATGAATTTTTAATCCATGTAGCTGTTGAGATGAGAGGGCATTAGAGATCAAGTTACAAAAGACTTCAGTATAAATGGCAAAAAGTAGAGGTGAGAGAGGATCACCTTGTCGAAGACCCCTTTTCGGGAGAAAATAGCCGTGAGTGTGGCCATTTAATAAAATGGAAAACGTGACTGTTGTCACACACACCTTAATCAACTTGATCCAAGCAGAATCAAACCCCAACGGCTCCATTACAGCAAAAAGAAATCCCCACTCGACCCGATCATATGCCTTTTCCATGTCAAGCTTGAGGGCCATCAACTTATCTCGGCCCTGGGTCTTCGTTTTGAGGAAATGCATAACTTCTTGTGCAATGAGAATGTTGTCCGAGATATCTCTGCCTTTCACAAACCCATTTTGAGCATCACTGACCACCGAAGGGAGCACCAGACTCAGACGAGAGGCGAAAAGCTTAGAAATTATCTTATAAAACACCTGGCAGAGGCCTATTGGACTCATCTGTGTCATCGAATCTGCATTAGGAATCTTTGGGATTAACGTTAGTAACGTATGGTTGAAGTTGTGTAGTAAACGACCGGACCTAAAAAAAGAACCAGCAGCAACACATACTCAGTTACCGACGATATCCTAAAAAGATTGAAAAAGGCAGCAGTGAGACCATCCGATCCCGGGGCTTGAGTAGGACCGATACTAAAGGAAGCTCGCTTAATTTCTCCATGGGAAATCTGAGCTGTAAGGAAAGCATTCTGTGCAGAGCTAACTTGCCGGGCTAAGCCTAGGGCCGTCACGAGGAACTGAAAAGGGTTGCCATTAGAGGAAAAAAGGCGGCGAAAGTAAGAGACATAGACATCACCTTTAGCTGATTCCTCAAAATGTATGAATCCGTGATCATCCCGGAGAGTTCAATTTGATTCTGTCGGCGCCTTTGAGCAATTGTGATATGGAAGTACTTGGAATTCGAATCTCCTTCTTGTAGCCAACCATTCCTGGACTTCTGCTTCCAGTAGATTTCCTCTTGTTTGTAGGCGTTTTTCCAGTTGAGTTACGAGGCCTTGAATAGTACTCCAATAGATCGGAAAATGCTCCCGTTCAGCTTCAATGGCTAAGCGGAGCTCTCTAATCATCCTGGCGGAGTTGGTAGTACCCTGTCTTGCCCACTCCACAAACAGATGCCGGACTGATTTCAAGGCGGAGAAAAGCCGAAACTGAGGTGTCCCGGAAAAAGAAGCCTGCCAGGATGAAGCAACAATTGTCCGAGCTTCTCGATTCAGCGACCATCGCCTGTCAAAATGAAATCGGGGCTTGCCCTTACCCGAACCCGGAATTAGTTGAAATAGAAGCATCCTATGATCAGAACCAAGGTCAGTTAGGTGAGAAAGTTGCAAATTAGGCCAATCCTGGAGGATAAGTTCAGATCCCAAACCACGATCTAAACGTTCCATGATATGAGTATCAAGGCCTTGACGATTAGACCAAGTAAAAGGGGGTCCTTTGAACCCCAAATCAAACAAGCCTGTTGAGTCCAAAAAGGATCGAAACTGGTCGAGCACCACAAAGGAAGGAGGGCGGCCACCCTGCTTTTCGGAAGCAAAAAGAATGCAGTTAAAATCACCTAGGACAAGAATAGGAGAGTCACAAGACAAAATTAAACGAATAAGTTCATTAAACTGGTCACATCTTGTATTTACATGAGAACTAAGGTGAACAAAGAAAATAGCAATATTTCCCCAAACCAAGTGCTGCAATTCCACAAAAATAATGAAGACTTGCTTATCTACTTCCCTACAATGAACAGAAGAGGCACAAGCAAGCACCATCCCTCCTCTCACACCTACCTGGGACACACAACTAACAACACCATAACCTAGACGACTAAGAGCTTTATGAACAAACTCATCTTCCCTCTTAGTCTCACAAAGGCAGATGACCAAAGGGGAGAAGCGACACACAACTCCAAACATGGATGGAATTGTCAGGGGGGAGCCGAGACCCCGACAATTCCAGGCAAGAATGCTCATTTATTAACGTGGGACCAGTCAGCACATGTTTCCTCCACCACTACTTCAGTCGTCTGATCCTGCAAAGGACTTATAATATCAAGTTTCTGTTTCTTGTTCTTAGGGCTCTCCACCACCATAGCAGAAGCTACAGCTCTTCCACGAACTTGTCCGGCCGACGAAGAACTCCCCACTGCCTGATCACTAGCCAAAACAAGAGAAGAAGCCAAATTTCCCAAAAGTGGGAGCAGCAGCAGAGGAGGTTGAGGAAGCCGAGAAAGGGAAGCCTCTTATCATTCTTCTTATCTTTAATAAATTATTTTTGTTTTTTTTTCTTGTTAAGGACACTTAGGTCATTTCATAATTAATGGGGTACACGGATTTTGACACCTCTCAAAATCTTACATAATGAGGTGGGATTTTATAATCCATGGGGTCCACAACTTTTGAGTAAACAAAAATCCCACATTTGTGGGCCCCACAGATTTATGTCAATGTCATTTTTATCAACAAACATGGATTTGGACAATAATCCAATCCATATAGGATTTTGGGCAAAATCTCTCATCACAATCCTACAAGCAAACGACCTCTAAGTATTCTTTTATGAACTAGACTTCTCTAAAGACTTCTAGTAAACAAATGTATCAACTATTAACAAAAATGTCTGGGTGGTGTAGTTGGTTATCACGTTAGTCTCACACACTAAAGGTCCGCAGTTCGAACCTGGGCTCAGACATCAATATTTTTCCACATTTTTTTCCAATTTCTTGACCTTTGGCCCCTCGGTTTCCCAGAGTAATAAATACTGTGTGTACTTTGTTTCCTTTCTTCTCATGTTGTTATAGCCACAGGTATTGCTTTTCACATTTCTGCTGTTGCAGGCCCCTTTGATGTTAATAGCATTTACTATTTTGTTCTCTCCAACTGTGGTAGTCTCAACTTTGTTTCCTTTCTTCTCATGTTGTTATAGCCACAGGTATTGCTTTTCACATTTCTGCTGTTGCAGGCCCCTTTGATGTTAATAGCATTTACTATTTTGTTCTCTCCAACTGTGGTAGTCTCAACTCAATTGCTATTTTCTCTGACTAGAATCAAAGTTGTGACATACACTGAGAAACAGGGAAATACATTGAAAAAGGAGTTTTCATCATGAAATATGTACATCCCAACGGGCTACACATTTGGGAAAGCAATATCATCGAACTAGGTGGCGGGAGCAAACCCAGATTAGCATTAAGCCACAACAAGATAATGATTGTCCAGACAGGGGGAATATAACATTTTATTTTGGCCGGCAGAGGAGCAAGTATACAACACAAGGGCAAATGTTTCAATTGAACATGCTTCTGGAGCAGATGACATATGATCCCCACAGAGTACACCTTCCAGCGAACAAGAGTTCCACACAGAGTACACCTTCCAGCGAACAACTGTACAAATCACGATGACTACGAAAGTTCATTGGTGTTGGAACAGCCTTCTCTTGAGCCAGTGAAGAGGTAAAAGTTGCAGAAGCCTCTCAGCCTTCAGTCTGTTCAAACCCTTCAGTCTTGTCAAAAACCTTCAGTGAGTGTATAAACTCGGCCAGCCAAAGGTGCCTCGAGTTTTGACATGGCTTCTTGGATTTCCTGGTGAAAATAAAATTATCAGCTTCATCATCCAAGGCTGCATATTATCTCATGAATCTAGAAATTTAAACATACCTCTACCGTGTAACGGGCTGAAAAATGGATCATAAGGATTGCCTTGTTTTGAAATTTGTCCGCATGCTTAATTATCTGAAACCAATTGAGATTTAGCAGAATGAATCAAAATTCAATTCCTTGTGGATTGGCATGTGTAAAAGGACGATACAGAAGAAGCAATACCTCATACAGATGGGTGTGACCATACTCTCGAGCATGCTCCACTGTTACCCTGTCCTCAACAAAAGTGCACTGTTGTGTACGGATTGACATAGTCAGCCCTTCTACCAGTATTATCAACTAATAATGTGAAAACTTTAAGGGGGAAAAAGATATATCTGATGCACTAGCTAGAATAGACCGTTAATTAGAAATCCTAGCTTATTTTTTACTTCAGAAGGATGGCCAACTACTGTGACTCACTCACAAAAACGATTCCAATCTGTGTCCTTGGAGAATGATAAGCAACTATTGTACAAAATATCTGAATAACGAGGGCTAGTAGCATCATACCTCCATAACGAGAATCTTTGCTTTCAGAACATCACTGTTACCCTCGTCCAAGATGAAGTCACTCATTGTGTCACCAGTAAAAGCAATTTCAGGGTGACTCGTGGTGTCTGTTATCTGTGAATAAAACAAGCACAATTTTGAGAGAGGAAATACCAATTCGAATAGCCTGTAACAACTGAAGAAATAAAATTCCAGCTTCTGAATGGATGTTAAAAGTTTCAGTACATGATGAGATTTGCTATGGTATTTCAGTCTGAAAAATATTCACTTTCCAAACATCTTTAATGTCCCTTCTGTAGTAAATTGTTTCCGTGGCATGTGTCGTGCGAAATAAAATGTAAGAGAAATGACAAACTCATATTTTGCTTTATCAGAAGATTGTTCCCCCCAGAGCAAACGAAAAGAAGAAGACTGTTCCCAACTTCCCATATTTAAAAGTGTTCCAGGAGTTCAATGTTCATATTGTTCAAATTAATGGTCCTCCAATCTGAGGAGAAGACTGATAAAGACAAAGGATCTCACAAGAAATAGAAGAAGCTGTAGGTGAGAAAGGAAAAGTAATGTCCTTCCGTATATGTGTGTTTCCTTCATTTTAGTTACTTGATAGTTGACAGACTGCCAAGTAAAGACACGGACGAGGTAATGCTCTTTCCTAGATAAGAAACGGATTAACTATAATATCATCCATACACATCAACAATGGCAGGGCACTAAATACTTGTACATAACACCATATAACAGTGAACACACTCATATAGGTGCCACTTTCAGTAGTTGCTTAAGGACATACCTTTACACCTGATGATTTTAGGCTTTTTATTTCATTGCTGGATAGACCACGATACTCTTGCTTAAGTTTTTCTTTTACTTGGTAAACAACATAACCCTGAAACATTATCAAGCAAATTGCTAAACGTTCAGCTGAAACAAAAACTCTTTCACTCCAAAGTTAACTGGCTTAGTTTTGACCACTTGGCTTACCTGGCTCCTTATTCTATGGTGTGTCCTAAATGCTTTTACTTTAAGGTCCCGTCTAATGGCGATCTCTTCCCCTGCAAGTAACAGTTCAGAAAACTAAATTATAGAGGAAAATTCGAAAGATGGTAATTCGGAGATGATGCACTACCTATATCTAAACCAACAAGAACATGTCGCAGCTCTGATCCATCTAACTGCCGATGCACCTCAAAAAGTTGTTCAACGGTTGCTCTGATGCATGTGGGCACGATGATCGTCGGAGGCTTCATGCGGTTTAAGCCACGGGTGGCAACATACATGGGCAACCCTCCCTGAACATAAGAAAGAAATCCCCCGTTTCAAAAGTAGATAGCAAAGTAAGCTAATTGTTCACTAGGTACAACGGGACCGAATAAAGAATTCAGCCTCCAAGTTCATCGCCATTAACGTTCAGCACACAGAAAATTGGAGAATAGAGAAGGAAAGGGCAACTGACTATGTGATCCATGTGAGCATGGGAGATGAAGACGAAGTTCTGAGAGACTGCTCGTTGCGGGCACCGACCAATATCGAAAGCCAAATCAAGTGAAGGGAAGATTATGCAGGTTTCCAGGCCAGCAATCGACAATCCCTCAATTGGGTACCCTTCAATAGTCATCAACGGCTTCTTCTTCTCTTTCTTGTCGATGTTGTTGGGCAGCGACAACGCGAGTTCCTGAGGCTTCTCCTGTGATGAACTAGAGCTGAATTTGGTCTCTTCTTCCATAGCAACGGCTTCTAGTTTCTTCTCAAGGAAGGGAAGACGGACGGTGGGTGGTTGGGCTACCGATGGAGGGAGCGGCGCTGCTACCGCGAATTCAAGTCGTGTACTCTCAGAACTCTGAAACTAACGACGGCCGTCGAGCGGCGGCCGTTCCGGCATTCTGATTTCTGTCTCCCAGTCTCAGCTGCGTTTGCACCTCAATTGGGCCTCCCGTTGGCCCAAATCATTTGGAGGAAGCCCTATTACGTTCTTGTGTCCTCAATCCTCATTACAAAAACAGTTCATTATATTTCAAGGGCAATTCGTTGACTGTTACTGTTAGTAGTTGGTTACACTTACACCATGAGGTTGGTTTGCATACAAGATATTGTTGTAGTTTACAACTTTAAATCATAATAACGATTAATCTTAACCAACAACTAGATATGATCTGAATTCATAATCTCTTACATAATTGATTAAGAGGAGTCCACATTTGTCGAATTGGTTATTATGATATGTTTTAGCGGTTTCGGAACCTCGTATGATCAATAAAATAGATTGAAACGTCCCTTTGGACCAATTTTTTTTTATAAATAAACCCTCATTTGTATCAATCCATTCATGATTGGCAATTTGTAATCATACAATTTGCTACAACTACAATTGAAAATGATTTAGTATGCAATGAGAGCACTTCTACTATGCTATATAGTATTGGTGCTTTATTGTACAATTTGAAGTAGGGGTGACAGATCGGTTTCCGGTTAGCGGCTAACCGACGGGTTTAACCGCTAACCGCCGGTTAGTCACTAACCGAAAACCGGTCGGTTATTAGTCACGGTCGGTGGTCGACAAGACTGAAGGGTTCTCCGATTAGCCGAGTGCCGAGTAACCGAAGGCGGTTAACCGCGGTTAACCGGCCGACCGACCCACAACCAAAAAATGTAAAAAAGAGGAGGAATAAAGTGGTTAAAACCGACCCCATCTGACAGAACCCTAAATCGACCTTCTAAATCGACCCACAACATCCGCCGCCCTCCCCTGCCTCCTCCGCTCCCCCTCCTTCCACCGCAACCACAACTTCCTCCACGGCCATCGCGGTGAAGAAGCCGCCTTCCAAGGACAGGCACAGGCGCACAACAAGGTCGACAGGCACCGGGTATAGAGATAGATTTAGGGAGGGAAGAAATCAATCACTGAAATCAACGCCAACTACGACCGCCGTAATCCCCTCTGTCGTCATTCTCCACCATTCCACCCTTCTTCTTCTTCTTACTCTGCTTTGCCGCGAAGGTTCACAAACCATAGCAATCATTCGGTTCCCCTCCCAGCCCACTACCGGCATAATATCTCTTTCTCGTCCTCTCTTCCTGGCCAGAGGTTCTCAAATTTGGAAGAAATAACTGGTTGCACCAAATCAGAAGATGATAATGCCACCACAAAGATGCAAATAATGGAGGTGAGTTTTGTGGGTCTTATCCTCCTTCACAGATGTAGAGAGGAGAGAAAAGGAAGAGCTTTGGAGGTCTAGGAGAGGCAGAGAGTAGAGCAGAGAATTGGTTTAATTTTGCTCTTGGGGAAACAAGAGAAGAGAGAAGATATTATTTTTGTTCTTGGGAAATCAGAGAAGAGAGAAGAAGAAGAAGATAAGAAACGTGTGGGTGGGGTGGGGTAGGGTTGTTTTTTATCTTCTTTTGTCTTTTTTTTTATATTTAATTTTTTACTGTTAGTTAATATTTAACAATAAAGGGGACAGAAACGTGGGTGGGGTGGGGACCGTGGGTTTTTTTTTTTTTTACAAATAATTTTTTTTTATAAAATCGGTTTTGTGGTTATAACCGAACCAAAACTGAAAACCGGTCGGTCGGTGGTCGGCTAACCTTAGCTTTCCTCCCGGTCGGTGGTCGGCAGGTGTAGGGGACGGCTCGATTTAACCGATAACCGAGAAATCGGTTTTCAGTTAAACCGAAACCGACCGACTGACACCCCTAATTTGAAGTTGTACCATAACATTAAATGTATAAGTTAAGGTTGTACCATAAAGAAATTTGTACAATTATGTTATGGTACAACTTTACGACTTGAAGTTGTACCATCACATAAAGGTACAAATTTAAGTTGTACCATAAAAGAATTTGTACAAAATGTATAGGTACAAGTTGAAATTGTACCATAACGTTAAAGATATAATTTCAAGTTGTACTATAAAGACAAAAACTTATAGCAATAATACTATATAGTATTGTAAAATTCCTCATGCAATGAATCAATGCCTACTTTGGCATATTTGTCATAATCCCAAATATGACTATGATCCTACTAAGAATAGCTCATAATGATTGAGACAGTTTTTTTTATTGGCAAAATACACATGCATAGCTATAACTATCCAATTTTGATAAATGTAGTCAATTTTTGAAAAATACACTAAAATACTCATTTAGTTAATAACTTTAACGACAACATCATATGTGCTGATTGGACTAACGATTTTGAACATGGTTGTCACGCCGGCCGGCGTGCCACTGGTTGAACCTGGTTCAACCTGTACCGGTCATAAAACCGGTATGACACCACCGGTATGACTGGCATGATCGATATACGAATCTCTAAGTAAAATGATCTTATATTAGTGAATTTATTTGATAAAAAGTAATTTATTATTTATTTTATGTGTTAAAAAGTTAAATGTTGATGTTATTTGTTGGATTCAAGTACAAATATTTAGGTATTGACGTTAAATGTCGTGCTTAAATATGAGTATTTGTAAATTATTTGTAATATTAAACGCAATGAATCGGCACAAACCGGTATGTACCACCGATCGAACCATTCCACTTGCTAAACCGGCACACTGGCACAAATCGGTTTGACAACTTGATTTTGAATGATGTTGCAATTTTTCGTAAAAAAACAAAACAAAATCATATCTTCCTCCGAAACCCTCTGGAAAACAAGCAAATCCATCGCCCCTCCATTGTCTTCTTCGTCCTCTTGTTACATCGCCATACCCAGCCATACACTGGCGGATCTAGGGGTGACCACCCCAGGCCCCGGCCCAGCCCTCTTCTGGATCCGGTGTTAGTATAGTCTTTATGAATTTTTCGATTTTAGACATTCGACCTGTGTTATTTTATAATAAGATTGGGTATAATTAGAAAAATGATTCAGATAAAAAAAATTTAGATTTAGCCTAGAAATTTTAGCCCTAAGGATTATTCGTATAAAAAAACAATGAAACCTAAAAGTCTAAAACGTAAAAGACTAAAAGATATATGAAGTTTATTTTCTTAAAAAATTAGTAATTTACTAGAGCAGCTAGTGGATATAGGGATGGACACACAATGCAAATTGATTAGTTGATTGATTTGTCTAGTGTTGACGCCGCTAGTTCCAACAGCTACTACAGAGAGAACCTTTTCAACAATGAAACATGTGAAAACTGATTTGCGCAATAAAATAAGAAATGAATTTCTCGTCGATTGCTCAAGTATCTATACTATATATTATGGCAATTCAAAAGCAATCTCTTGCCACATAATCACTTGGAGGATGCACAATTTGCCAAGTTGGACAACTTTTTTACAAACAAAAAAATTAGTTATTAATTTATTTATGGAGCTATCTCTCTCTTTTTCAATATTTCCATTTCTTTTATCTCTTTTTTTCTTTAATAATAGGTTACATGTTGATAAGCTTAACCAGACACACATAAATAATAAATTTTATGTCCTGTAAAAATAATATAAATAAGAAAACAGAAAGTAGCATATGCCACATTTTTTTAAATAAAAATATATGATTAAACCTTATTAAGTAAATTTTTTTACTCATTTTTACTAAAATTGAATGATAAGTTACATTTTAATGAAAAAATTAAACAAACATACATATAAACAATAACGTTTTTTTATTAAACAAAATTTATATGAAAAGAGAGAAAATAAACATTTGACATTCAATTACCTATGAAAAATAAATTATATTACTTTATATTTTGTTGCAATGAAACACTCTCTTATTCATAAATTATATGTCTATAAAATAAAACAAGTATATATTATTTAGCAAAATGTCAGAGTATAATCTTGATCGAGTAATTATAGTTATTTACTTAAAAAAGACTTCTTATTCCTCGGATCATGTTCCACCTTAAACTCCTCAAACGAAAAGAAATGGCAAGTGCAATAATTTTATATTGTGTGCTAAGTTCATATTAATAATATTTGTTCTATATCATGTTGATTGAGCAAGCTCTATTGAGGTCCTAAGTCATATGCTAAGAAATTTTCTTTCATACGTGGAGTTATCGTCAACGATTATAAATCAAAATTTTCAAAATGACTTAAGTATGATTGTTGACGAACTTTGACTTCATACCCTAGAATGAGACACAAGATTCCTTAAAAAATAATATAAAGGAAGGTTAGAGAATCTTTGTTGAGAATCTATGATAAACATCGCGTTTTATCAACTACTAACCTAGACATTTACCAAATAAAGGTTGACAATTTTTAGTAAGATAGTCAATTGGGATAAACATATTTATCCAACAATCAAGTATCTTTATCCAGTAATCTCAACTCTCAAAATTGGTTGCCAGTTCGTCCAAACTCGAGAAACACGAATTGATATATGTTGTATAGATAATAAGTTAATGCAAATAATCAAATGAAATCCACCGATATTGTTCAAATGATAAGACATTTTAAATGCACTTGAGTCTTGAAATATGTGTGTATTGTAGACGCTCTTTATCAAATATTAATATATGAGTGATAAAATCTTTGAAAATTACACATTCAACGACCATATTAAGACCAAAATCCTCGATAGTGTGTGCGAGTGTCTTAGATTGAGATTCTAAGCCAATATATAAACAATGACCACGGGTTGAACTTCAAAAATTAACAATTGATACATATTGTATAATATACTAAATTTAAGTGTCTTCGTAAAAAAAAAACTAACATCCAAAATGGAAATGAGTCGAGATTATAGAATTTAATCATCACGAGGGCTACAGTGTGTGTCAAGTTTCAATATGGATGAATAAATTGATCCAATAATGAAGTATCTTTACTAAGCATTTCTCACTAAAAAGTCCTAATCCTTACAACATTGGTCGATAGTTCGTCCAAACTTGAGGATCATGAATGTGTATTGGATTTCCAAATGACCTAAAATCCCAACCCTTTTCGGGAGTTAAATACCTCTGATCACAAATATGTTCCAAAGAAGAAAGAAAAGAAGTCCAAAAAATTAAAAAAATAACAAAACCTCCGATACAATGAACAGAATAAAACCATATCGAGCTATGATCCTATCACCCCTACCCTTTTATTCTCCATAAAGGAGGCGGCGGGAGAGGATAAGAAATAAATAGCAGGTTCTTAGAATTTGCCTCTTTATATATTACATATGAAATGAAATGATAGACAACCCCAATGGTTGTCTGACGTTATGGGGTAAAAGCGAGATCTCTATCCCGAGGGTGGGGGATAGGCAAGTAGCACTTTTAATACGAGTATGAGGCGAAATAAGATATGTCTGGCGAAGTATCTGGATAATTTTGAGTCTACTATACACACACACACACACACACACACACATATATAACATCAAGGTATACTATCTTTTGATTTTACTCAAGATACGATAGAATATATGTATGACAAAGTATTTGCATAAATTAGAGGTTAGAGAATTAGGGATTAGAGTTCACCTATTAGAGGTTAGGGTATTATATCATGCTCCAAAAAACTCCGGAGTCTAAATACCAAAACTCAATGGTCGTATGGTAGTGTGAACACAAGAGTATAGCGTACTCCTAGCGCACGCTAGTTTAAACTATATATATATGTGTGTGTGTGTGGGGGGGGGGGGTGTTCAGGTTGGGGTACGCTAAATATTAGTGTTTTGGTTGACAAATTTTGGCATAAGTTCTAAATGGGACGTGACAGAGACATAATTTATGATTAGAAAACCGAAACATCAGAAGTGAGTGTGCTAAATATAGGAAATTTTCAATATATACATACTACAAACTCTTTTATGAATCAAGAACAAAAAAAATTTAGAAAATCCAGAATGATTTAAACATATGAATAAGTTAATTGATATAAATTATAAAATAAATCTCTCCGGCCAACGGGCCGGGTAAAAAGCTAGTTTTATTTGAAACAGTGTATACTATTGGTATGGATGTGGACTACATTATTGATGTATTTGCTAAATTAAAATACCGTTGTGTACAAGTTATATTGTAAAAAAAACTATAGTCATTATATTTTTTTAGGGTTCTAATTTTCTAATGAAATACGGCCCAGTGCTCTTCTCTGTTCTGGATCCGCTGCTGCAGCCTGACTCACTCCTACTGTCACTCTAGAAAATGGTCAAGTGAAACCACTTCCTAAAGCGTAGTATAGCGGCTTTGGGTTTTAATGTCAACCCGGGTCCTAGATTTGATGACTACTCGGTGAATTCTTGTTATCTAGCAATGAAACTTTAGTGCAAGTCCAAATTAACAAACAAACAAAGCAAGTTAAACGGTTGTTTTCAAGTCGAGAGAGGTCACCCGGATATGGTTCCCCCAGACTGCATTTAAGCCGGATTGCAATTTACCAAGTTCAGTTTCCATGAAAGTTATACTGCGGAAGGTTCTTAAACAGTCTGAAG